ATTTTAAGAACAATGTAAGAATAGGATTTAGCGATTTTGCCACGGACGTAAGTCTTACTTAGTTATTTTGCTTTTGCCCGGGGTTTATACGTCATAAAAATTTTTATCACGCAAGTCAAACTACGAGTGTTTTTAAGGTAAAACATATACTCCAGCTCAGGCGATAGTTAAAAAATCTATCAATAAGAAAAATGTACATAAAAAGAACGGGAGAAAAGTACTTAAAGGTGACCTTTATACAACTTTGAGGAAATGAAAGGCTTAGTGTGCGATTTTCAGCTTTCAGTAATACCCAAATAAAAATAGGTATTCAATTAGTTGCAGGGTGATACAGACAAAATTACTTACTCTATAAACGTCGCGGTAATTGCACTTTTGAAAAAAAATACGCATTACAATTTGCGTTTGAAAAATTCAGTAAATGACCTCATAATATAAAAGCAACAAGATAAATAAGCGAAATATTCTTGCTAGTATTGTCGTTATCTATAGCCCACTTTTGACGACCATTTTACAGCTGTTAGGAACAATATGCAACATGAGTAATAAACGAAATACTGACAAAGTAATTGTCCTTGGTGTTTCATTTTGATCTTACAGTTGCTAGAAACTATTAGCAAATTCTTCTTTCAGTATCGATGAAAGAACCAGTTAATTTTTATTTTATACCCGTCGTTGAACAGCCGACCCAATTTTCTGGGTTTACGACTGCTTAAGTTTAACTACGCAGCCTTGTAATTTTGAATCCAATCCAGAAGACAAGGAAACTCCTAGAGGTATTTTTTGTTATCGGAACATGGACGACACAAGATCACGGAGATTTGTTGCTTAGTTTTTACGTGAAAACGTAATAAACAGACCGACAATACACAATTACGGTTTTGTATACAAACTTATTTCCGTAATTATAATATTAGTAGCGGAGTACGGGTTTCATAGTGCACTGTTTCAATCCCTTTATATATTAATAAAATTAAATTAGTTTGAATTTACTCAATAAATGTATAAAATTAACATATGTTTTTTGCTTAAATTTTTCACACTACGCTTCACTACAGTTAGAAATTTGAATCTTTCACAGTGAGTAGCACTATACCAGCTGTCAAAAATACATTTGAAGTTGATGAATTTACAAAAAATCAATATCAGGTAAGCAGGGGGTCTACCCAAAACCGAAAAACATGACATAAGACCTACAAGACAAAAAAGTCCAGGAACAACTGGTTTAAGTGTTTAAATCACTCATAAAAAGAGATTTTACTCACTGTCTTCAATCCGTACATTATCATTTCACGTGTTTCTGTTACAATTTCGTCTAATTTAAAGCCAATGCTATGTTACACGTTTCTTCCTTCATATCGCATCGACAAGTCTAACAGAATATTTTTGCTTGTATTGTTTTTATATACAGCGAAACTTTTTACTATCATTTTATTGCTGATATGATCAAAATGCGCAAAGATTAATATGCAAAATATCGGAACTGGTATTCAAAGAAATTGATATTATCTACAGCGTACTTTAACGTCAGTTTTACAGTTACTTTACAGCTAGAAACTATCAGGACACGTATATTTCAGTACTGTTTGAAGAACCATTGCCATCCATTGTGGGAATTGGGCATTCTTTTCCATTTCTTAAGCATTTAAATCACTCAAAATAACTGTTTATTCTCCCTGATTTCACTCCACAAATTATCGTTTCACTTGTTTCTGCTGCAGTTTCCCCTTATTTGACGCAAATTCTTTGGTCTTTTTTATTTCGTATCAAAACGTACTTCACACATCCGCGTGGCTGTTGTTATACGCTAGGGGACACTAGTTGCTATGCCTTTCACTGCGTCTGAGTGAGTGCATCATTCTAATCAGTGCGATTCAAAACTAATCACGGAACTATTCACCAAATTTTTCAAATGCAACTTGTATAATTGTTATTCTAGTTATATTTTGTCTAGAAGTATAAAAACCAAATTTCAGGGTATAAATTTTTAAAAAAAAAATTTAAATGGCATAGCTAATGAAATATCAATTTCACTTAGTCTAAAATTAGCATAATAAGATTTGCTTAAGTCTAATATTAGACTTAGTAAATATCAATTATATTTAGTCTAAGAATCTAAGAATAGCATTGAAGTTATTAGTCTAGATTCTAAGAATAGCATTGAAGTTATGCATAGATGTTCTTTTTGCATTTCACATTGACGCGAAGCTCACAAATTCACGTGACTTTTGCTACTTGGGCACTAGGGAACGCTAGTTGCTATGCTGCTTCTGCGTGAGTGCATCATTCTAATCAGTGCGATTATTCAACTATGGAATTATTCACCAAACATTTCGAATGCACTTTGTGCAATTGTTATTCTAGATATAGGTTATCTAGAAATGTTGAAATTAATTTTTGGCGTATTACTTATTTATTAAAATAGCAAGGATAATAAAATATTAATTTTTCTTACTCTAACATTATCATTAATCCAGATCCAATAAATTTGAATTAATAAGGGTTGTGCATTAATCATCACATCTATGCCTGAAGATTTGCTCATATTTTGAGAATATGTTATAAATTATTATCATCGTCGATGATTTTAATATTTCAATATAAACGTTATCTAAGAAACTAACCATAGTTTTCGCAACAAGAGAATTATAAAAATAGTATTTAACACTGTAAATTGTTATAAAATAATAAATAATATTCGATACATAAATATGTATACGTGTTTGTAAGAGTATACGAGTCAGTTATACTCAAACAAAATATGGAAGATTTAAATATATATACTTTTAAACCTACTTAGATGTATTTTTTCAGTTTTTTAATCTCAATTTTCAAAAAGTAATAAAAAAGGGTTTTTGTTACAATATTTAAGTTAATTATCAAAACTTGATTAGAATAAAATATTATTTTAGTTCTCATTTAGCATCAAAATCATGTTAATTGAACAACGTAACGCGATTTCTCAATCTAACCGAAAAAACATTTAAATGTTAATGTAAGTTTGCGTCATGTTTTACGTATTAGAGATAAACTAATTAAGTAAAAAAAAAAATTTGGCGGTAAAAATAGTGTGTTTTCAAAAATGTGTGAGGAAATTTTTTTCGGATCAAGTATACTTTTGAAATGAATAGAATATTAACAAACTAGAAAAGTGAAGAACTTAGATCAGTTGAGGGCCTCAAGATAAAAATAAACAGAATTGCTGAATTAATTAATAATTTTTGGCTTGAACACCAGGAAAATTAAAAATTTAAGTCACTTGATATCAGTATCTCCATTTATTTTTAATTCAGCATAATTATAAAGATACTGCTGTTCATTAACGATTAATAATTTTTTGTTTTGTAAGTGTACTTTTATTTGATAAAGAACAAATTAAATTTGAGATATTTAATTGAATTTAGTGTTGCGTTAATAGATATTACAGATATTAACACAAATATGACTAAAACATTTCTATATCATTATGGTTGATTTTCGTTTATTACGGTTTGCTACATATTTTGTTGCTATAAAACTGTTTAATTTTGAAATTTATAAAAATTCCACCATTTTTATTCTTGGTTAAGTATAATATTTTAAAATGGATGTTTTAGTTTTACCTTAAAGAGCACGAGTTTCATTAAATTTGGTAAAAATACCCTATACTACTGCCTTAGTTCTTCACATTTTTAAAAAACAGAGAACATTAATACGAAAGTTTTTATATGTTGTGAAAGTGCATAATTTTATAGAGATTTGTAAATAAAAAATACCATATTTTTTTGAAAAACTTCCTATGATGTATTTGTAATCTTTAAAAGAACTCTGAAATTTTTCATGCGAAGGCATTTTCTCAATAATTCGAATACACAAATAGAATGGCATGAATGCTTACATTTTGTTACAATTTGCTTTTTTAATAAAAGCACATTTAATTATTATTAAAGCGTATATTTTAACAATGAGGTATCAAAGTAATTTTTGTAAAATTTTCATTATAGTAAAGATAGTATTGCTGTAGTTTTGGAGAAATGATTTTTTGATAAAAATGAATCTTAATTTTTTTAGAGGGTGTGAATCTGATATGTTTTAAATAACTAAACATACATTGATTCATCAAAACTGCACTAAATTAACAAAAAGTTGTATCATTAATTTATATTCCAAAGCTCTTAATCATTAGTTCATATAGTTATTTTCGCATATAAAATATTCAATTGGCATAGAATGAGACAATAGGAAGCAATTTTTTATGAAACCAACGAGTTCTCTAAATATCCCATGCTGGCAATAGTTGCCAAAAGGCTTTACTTTTAAAAGGGAATGGCAAAATTACTTACTAGGAGAAGAATTAATAAAGTGTTACTTTGAAGACAAATATAAATAAAAATGTGAAAATTTAGATACAAGAAAAACGAAATCTAAAGATACGCATGTTAGCAAAACGGCACTTCATAAGGGGGGCATTTTTATTTATATTGTTGACTTGATAACACCCCTGATAAAGATATAACCCCTTATGAAGTGCCGGTTTTGCTAACAATCCCTGATGAAGTGCTGTTTTTGCTAATATACGTATTTTTAGATTTCGTTTTTCTTGTATTTAAATTATCACATTTAATTTTGACTTATTGCTTTTAAATAAAATTTTTTGCTCATTTCTATTTTTTAAATGCTAAATTTTTGTTTAATTCTATTTTTATACTTCGACTGAAATTGAAGACAAATATTCTTTCTTATATCTCGTAATTACTTTTTGATAGCTCAATTTTTAAAAAAATCATATGAAAAAAAATCGGTCAAAAAAAAGAGTTAAGTTTAATACAGAAATAAAATCAGTTTTAAAAAATCACATACGCAAAGCCGTATACATACACAAAAGCCGAAATTTATAGATGTAAAAAATAAAGTAGAAGTTTTTTTTTTTTTAACCAATCAAAGCTCTTTAAAATTTTGCACTATCTCAACAGAATATAATAAGTATTATAATAAAGAGTGGTAATTTGTAATGCACTTACCGGCTGTCCTCGCACGGCCGACTTGACCATTGTGACTTCAGCATTTCCTGGCAGAAGAACCGCCTCCGGAGGGGGGCACCTTTCGGTCCCCTCCGCAGCCGCGGCTGCCGCCACACACCGTTGTCGGTGTTCTTGAGCCATCTTAGCCATCTGCTGATTTCTCGCCTTTCTCATACTTATCCTCTTGCCGAGGTATCCAACTGTTGCATATTCTAGTAGGGAGGCAAACACCATCACGAAGCAGGTTCCTAAGTAGACGTCAATACTTTTGACATATGAGATTTTGGGTAAGGCGGAGTTGGTACTGGACATTAGGGTGGTCATTGTGAGCACTGTGGTGACCCCCAGAGCTACTCGAGCCGGCGTTGCGTTTCTGTGAAGCCAGAAAGACACCCAAGAGATGATTACTATGAGCCCAGCTGGGATGTAAATTTGAATTAAGTAGTAGCCCATGCTCCGCACGAATTGAATTTCACAAACTAATCTGGAGTAATTACCTGTAAACATAACAAAACTGTCTTAGATATAGCATAAAGACACTTAAATACAGTATAAAAGCATTAATGTAATATTTTCCACCTGTTCAAAAGTAACTGTCCATGGAATGAGATTAAAATCCGTTGACAACTTTCAATGAAATGGCAAAATCATGTGAGATCTTAATTAAAGAAAGCGAACTTGTCTGATAAATACAAAATAACTTGCCTGATGAACACAAGATTGCTACTCAAATGGGAGCCTCACTCTAGTTTTTGTAGGACTTCTTAGAGAAAAGTTATGATCCATGCCTGATTTGACCTTCCATGTCATCAGACTATATCTCTATACCTTTCGGTATGTGTATTTCACCAAAAGGACAGATGAAAGAGAACAACTAACGTTAGCTTCATTAGCTGCAAACTATTATAGCTTGGTTGACTGCGGATGGTTGTTGGGTTCATCTGCCAACGTCCCTCAAAACACCCAAGCATTGCGAATCGCAATGAGTTTGCTTTCCTTGACTCCCATGCTGCAGTTTAAGTTATGGGATCCTTTTGGAAAGACGATAGTGCTAGGATGTATGCAATTCAACGTAATACAAACAACAATACAATTCTCTAACAAATTCAAATTAAAAATCTTCCAAGCAATGGTTGAACATCACTCTCTAATGTGTTTTTAGTCACTGAGACATTCTCGATTAGCAAATCTATCTGCTCCTGACCTCAGCAATATTGCATCTGCTCTTTATCTATTGTTAGTGATGAAATAAGACGCATTATCAACTGCGCATTTAAGTACTATATACTGACTCAGACCACGAGAAAGTTTTGGGATAAAGAAGGCAATACTTTTAGGGCTCCCAGGTAATCTCTGTAGACATGTTGTCTATCATAATTAAACCAAATTTCTGCACTTATTAGAGATATAGGATGAACCCCGCATCTATAACTTTTCCAAAATAGACACATACCTTTCTTGCACATTTAGGCTTAAGATGAAATGTGCTGAAGTGTGTGGCCATTACGCTAAATTTAAGCGCTTCTTCCATGAGTTTAATATACATTGTTATATTAATATAAGATGATGAGAATGAAAATTATTTGAATACGGGCAACTCTGGTGACTTCAACGCATTCTTTAACAAACCTTTGGTTCGTGCATTAAGACATGAAATTAACTCGATGCCGTAAATAAGTAAATATGTACGAACTGTTAGCAACAGTTTAAACGTACGTAATACAAGTAAAAAGGAGTAAAATTTATGAATGTATAAACATGTAGAATAAAGGTAATAAAGAGAAAAGGAATACGTTGAGAGTAAAATTGATTTAAGAATATCCATAGTTCATAAAATATATTTTTCATGGTTTAAAGGAAATTCATAAAAACAATTTTATAGCTATACATATATTATAATCAGTATGAGTTGTTAGAGAAAAATACAAAGAGAGAAATTAGTAATTGGTTTCTCTGTTCTAACTTGAATTGATTAAGGTATTGATATAAAGCATCCTAAAAGGTGGTAATCATGGTTACAGTTTAATTGTAGGTAAGATCATTATATATTATGATACAAAATAACTAAAGATTATTCAATTTAATCCGAAAGTACACTTATTTTTTACTTTAACTTATCTTGTATTCAAAATTAGCGTTTATAAATAATGATGTATTTTTCTAACTACAGTTCCAAACAAAATATACTTAAACAGATTTAATTTTTTCTGTGTCTCTATTTTCAAGAGAAATAGCATTTAAAAAATATTACATATAGAAGACTGCAATATTTCTATGTAGTATTTAATCAATAGTATTGCCAACACTTCAACTTTCGGAGCATTTTGTGAGTTAAATAAATAAAAATTGATTCAATAAAAGTTGAAAAAAAATCATCAAACATTTTATAGAATAATAAAGAATAAAGCAACATGAGAAAAAATAGATATTTAAAAATCTTGAATCTGCAACTTTAAAATCAAAAAGCAAATGCATTAAAGAATTAGAAAAAATTCTTTGACGCAATGCGAAGTAGGCTGAAGATTTTTAAACAAAAATAAGCACATTAATCATTTTTCATGTTTATATTTTAATGAATCAAGCTATTTTGCAAACTTCCTATTGGAAATATATAAAACAATAAATTAGTTTTGACAAAATGCATTTTATTATTATTAAATTTTTATTTTCGTCGCACATAATAATACTCTCGAAGAAAATAATTATACAAGTTTTAAATTAACTTATTTATTTATTTTCTTAAAAATAACTATTCGTAATGAAAAATTTCATCATAATAACTAGTTATATGTCATTTTTATTGATTTCTAAAAAAACTTCAGCAATGTTGAATACAGTTAATTAAAGTGATTGAAAAAGAAAATTTATTCCATAAACATTGAAATGATTATTAAAACTCAAAATCAATTGAAATCAAGGAAAAGACGACGCATTGCATTTTCTATATGCAATTACTAACAACATTTACTAAAAGCAATTTAAAGTATTCCTCTAACATATTTGAACTAATTGATTAGCGTTTACTATTATGATAGCAACAAGAAGCTCCTTATTTTGTTTTTCAATAAATATCTTGGAATTAATGAAAGGAACCAATTATTTTGAAAGTTTAATTACTTATAGGAGCAAGAAACGAAACCCATACCTGTCGAGAGGTGCTCTTCTTTTTGGTCTTGACGATGGCCTAAGACTTTGAATTGGGGTAATTCGACATCTGTCGACATTCCAATTGATTTCTCTCCGTCTCCCCACTTATACCTTATGTCTCTCATTGTGTACCCGACTGAAATGGAATAATCAATAAATTAATATTTGAAATTATGGGATTATTTATAAAAGTTAAAAATTTAAATCACATTAAACAGATGTGTAAATTGCTTTAGAGAGAATTTCATACTTTTATGATATGATTTATCTTATGATAGAAGAAATTGAATGATATTTGTCGAATGTATTTTAATTACGATGTTATTTCGTTAATGCTTCTTTTATCATATTCTCATGTGAGGCTAAATAGCAATTAAATCAAACATCATATCAAGATAAAAGATAATCGCTTTTTTCCGTATGCCTGTTTAGGCAGTGGGGGATCGATTGTTCCTGTTTTTCAGTGGCGCCATCTATGGCCAGGAATTCGACTTCTGCCACGCCATTCACACAACGACAACCCGTTTATAGGGCGGGTCACATGCACACATAAAGGAGAAAGGACATAGAACACACAGAGGGATAAACAAACATCCATGCCTTGCCCGGGATTCGAACTCAGAACCTTTCTGATGCAAGGACAGTTCCCTGCCCCCTACATAGGCCGGCCGGTAAGATAATCGTTAGAATATGTAATAACCGTTTGAATTGAATATGTGAACTATTTAAAGTAATTATGAATATTCAATTTAATTGCTCATATAGTTATTTTCTGATGAACTTTGAAATACGTTTTGAATAAAATCGAACGCTGAATTGCCGTCTCCCCACTTATGTACTTTATGACCCTCATTGCATACCCGACTGAAATCAAATAATAAATTATTTAATACTTAAAATTATGGCATTATTTCAGATAATAAGTAATTTAAATCACAATAAACATATGCGTAAATGGTGTTCAGAAGGAATTTCCAACTTTTAAAGTCTGACTTATAGTAGGAAAGAAATTGAGCGATATTTGTTGAAAGCATTTTAATTACGATCTTATTTCATTAATGAATTGAATTGTTTCTGTACTCACATTTTTGTGAGAGTCTTAAATTGCACAATGAATGACTTATGCCAGTCTACTCTTCAACGATTACAGTAGGGAACGAATTTCGTGTTTTATTTAGACAAATACTTGATCTTTCCTAATTCGGTTGTGATAATTCCAAATCTGAAGTTAATTTTGTTCCTAAAACTATGGATTTGCTTTAAAATGACATTTTTATTCTATTTCTTTTTCAAAATGTAAAAGTATAAAAGCGTTATAAATAACACGAGACGTAAATGTTGAGACAAAAAGGGGTAAAAAAAGCACATCACCAGGATTAAAATTGCATAGGAACCCATTCCTAGAGATGCTTAGGGGCACTTCCCTATCATAGTTGCCGAGTGGCGCAGTTGGTTTGTCGTCGGTCTTCTGAGCCCAAGTCTGCGGGTTCGATCCCCGGCACAGACACCGGATTTTCGGGATACAGAAAATCCTCAGCGGCCATGTTGTAATTATGCGGCATGTAAAAAATCCCTGGAGTGCCTTATTGGCTCTTGGCATTTCCGGCAAAATTAAATTCCTAGTGCACTTTAGCATCCAAATAGAGTGTCGGTGCTACCATCTAGTGTGGCAGAAACTAGACGTCCAAATTAACATGACCAACGGTATCTCACCCATTGTGGTGGTCATGAAAGAGTGGATACCACCTCTGGAGAACTCACTAGGTCTGCTCATCGGCAAGACCGATTGCGCAGCTCATAGGAAATAATAATTGAAAAAAAACTTCCCTATAATGGCCTGCTTAAAGGCACACGAAGAAACAGTTCATAACAGCATGCATCTCCCCTGGCAGCGTATGACGTTTCGAGGCATGGGTACCTATGCAAGTTTAATCCTGAGAATATGCCCTAATTCCCTCAGAATTTTCTTGATACATTTTTTAAATCCCTGTTATATATGACGTATTTAAACTTATACATTTTGGCAAAAAATAGACAAAAAATGTGAATAAAAAAACTGTAGCTAGGAAAGAAAAACGGATAACGGATGTGAAATCAGCTATACCAAAGTCAGAGATGCTAACTGCTCCGGACAAGTCAAAATAATTAATAAAACGGTAGATAACAACAAAGTAAATTTTGCAAATATTTGACTATTTTTGCTTGTTTTTTAAAAGGTAAAGCATGACATAAGTACTACAAAGCGGTAATTTATATAAGCCTACGAATTATTTAGAAACAGTGGTGGATAAAAATCTACTAAATTGAATTTATTAAACCAAGAATCACAATTGATAAACTACCACATTAAAATATATATTTGCTGTCCGGAACAAATTGGCATCTCTGCAAAGTATCTAAGATCTGTTAAGAAATCTCATGCAGCAGAAAAAAGAAGTATTTCCCAGTGTTATTTTATATCTTGAAAATGAAATCAAGTTTTTGTCTAAAGTAGTAATGCATATGCAAAATTAAATGATAATATGATTATTTTCTGGTGAACTTTAAAATATATTTTGAATAAAATTTGAGTTAAACACTTAAATTTTGAATTAAAAATCAAAATATTCTTAAAAACTGCTAAAAGTTAAAAGTGGAGCATTTCCGCAACAGCCCGTTGTGGCCAGGAGGGTCATGGAGGAAAAGGCTCTATAATTTCGTGACCAACGGCATGATTGGGACAATGTGGTCTGCACTGCTCACAGGCCGCCTATACTTCCCAGACAAGTTGGTGCCCATCGATCTGAAGCTGGTTAAAAAGTGTTACATTAAAAACTGGTACAACCTTAAAATTGCTCTTGGTGATACTAATAAATAGACTAAGGTGAGCAAATTACTTATTAGTTTATGTGTAAGCGCAAGTAACGCAGAAGGTATAGATTTTAAATTCTTAGTTGTTCTATAACATTCAAAATTTAAATAGTATAATTTTGTTTCAATAGGATTTCTTCAGGTACATAATATTTTTCCGAGACAAATATTAGATTAAAATGTTTAGCAGGATTATATCTGTTATTAATTTATTTTGCTGATTCCTTTTATTGATCAAAAGTTTTGATATAAATTGAATTATATTATCATCTAAGTATATTATTTTCCCAAATAAATTCACAGCACTCTGATCAAGCATGAAACTAAATTTGATTTTTTTCCTCAGCAAGTTTTAAGTTTTTTCCTTTTAAATAGCAGTTCTAATTGAAACAAAAGTGGTTTGTTGTATTTCTTTCCTTTAGGGTTTTAAGTATAAATTAAAGTACTTCATTTAATTTTAGCTTGTTCAGAAAGAATAAAATTACTTTCTAATTTATTTTTTATTAATTACTTTATTTATTTCAATTGAAACAAATTAGAAAACAGAAAGACATACATATATATATAAAGTTATCAAAAAAAGTGTTCTAGCAAACTTACAACTTTCAATTTCGAGAAAACACACTTGTCTGTCCATGGGAAAATATTGTAAATCCATAGGACACCCGGCAGTTACAGTCAATCTGAAAGAAAAATAATATTTCATTAACGCTTAAACTAATATAAATTTGTTAAAATAGAGAAGTATTTTTTGTAATATTATAAATTAGTTAAAAGAGAGAAGTATTTTTTTGTGTACAGTATCTCTGAAGTATTCGTATAAAAACCCTATATTTCATGAGAATAATTAGAGCGTTTTTGTTTCCACAAATATTGTTTCCGTTGCATTGGATTTATAAGGACAGCTATTTTCTTGAAAAATATTTATTTCAATGGAAGTTTTGAAAATATTTACTTTCGTACTTAATTTATAAATAAATGCACTTGCCAAGTATAGCTATTTGTATCTAGAATATTTTATTTCTTGAAGCAAAATATAAGTTAATATGCCTACAATGTAAGAAATATATCACTATATAGTCATTAAATTCCTTGGATGTTTACAAACGAAAATGATTAAAAAAAGTAAACGTTGCATATTAATAATTATAAAATTATGCTGAGAAATACAGCACTCATTAATTTTAAATACATCTATAGTTTCAGGATTTCCAAGATATGTTCGAAGTAAGAAACTATCATATAAATATAATAATTTACTCAAGAAACACATTTCAGGGCTTATTCAAGGAACACATATGAAACACATTTCAGTACATAATTTAGCATTTACAGAAAGTTTTCTTAAATCTTTCATAAATTAAAGCAACCTTCATTCAATGCAATCACTTGGGACATTTTAATGATAAGTTCTTTCAAAATTTTGAATCCACACTGTAAAAAATGATTTCTCAAAATTGAGTAAATATGTGTGAAATTACCTCCGAAAAATAGTCGAATTAGTAAAACCCCATGTATTCAAAATTGAAACAACGTATACTAATTTTTGAGACAAATGCATAGTCTCTAAAGAGATGAAGAGGGAAAAAGTGCGATAAAAATGCCCGTTGGCTGCCGGCTGGATTCGAACCAAGGATTTCTGGGTTTGTAGTAGGATACTTTTATAAATTTGACAAATAAAATTTTTTTACAAATGATTTATAGAGAAACGAATAGAAGCAGTTTTTTCAAGCAAAAATATTGCATTTAAGTATAGTACTTTGCATGATTTGATGAATTTTTTTTAAAATTATATATATATATCTCAATTAATGAGCGGTAATGCATCTTTTATGGTGACAATATAATACTGTCTCTGAATACAGACTATTTTCAAGGGAAACTATGCACATGCAATAATTTTAACGCAAAACAATTTCTCTTTAATTTAAGAAAAAATTCTTTTTCCTTATTCACGAAAAAAAAATCTAAACTCTTTTCCGAAATATTTCCTTATCAGTATAAAACTGCATTGGAGATTAAGCGAATTCTCTGATACCTTAAGTTAGTGTCTCAAAGTAAAATTTATTGCCACGATCAGGACATAGCCTAATCCCTTGACATACTACGACCAACATAAAACAATGCTTAGACCACTCTGTTTTTTTGCAGCCTGCAACATGATAGAATTGTTAATGGTAGCATGTACAGGATTTACTGACTGTCGCAATTAATGACTTTCATTGGTAATAGTCTACCCTTCGAAGTGGTAAAATGTGGTTGCAGTTCTAATCCTAACAATAAATCCTCTATCTCCACAGGGTAAAGTTTGTAGCGTTATGACCGTCACGTAGAGATTCTGCATTGGCCCATGGAGGTTACTCAACTACGTTAATAATTAGCCTCACGGGAAATCTCTTCACATAGACAGAGGTGTATTAAGCCTGATACAGCTAGCAAATGCATGTTTTAGTGTAGCTTTCACAATATTCTTGTCGCAGTGATTGGCGAAAATCCGCCATGTCGCCAACTACAGCGGGAATTGACAACATTAACTGGATGTGATATATGTTGCGGAACAAGATGTACGGTTGAGATCAGGCTTACAAACAAAGAGCAGGAAATGATTTTTACTATCAATCATTCATGAAAGTTAATAAGGTAAAGGATTCAATGAATTTTTTTGCATGGGAGCTGTTGATGTTATTTTTCTATTTGTTGATAAGTGTTTCGTTGTTCTTAATGTATAGTTTGATTCTATGATTGTTTTTAAACGTTACGTAACTTGAGAAAACATTAAAAATATTGATATAACTTAATAATGACTAAAGTTTACTGTGTTTATTGTTCAGTTTCTATGATTTTATATAGGGAATCACGGAAGGGGAATTTAGATATTGATTTTTTTTAAATTTATTTTTACTTTGAAATTACTGAAGAGGAAATTCGATAGAGTTTAAAATTATAACTAGTTTTGAAATTTTGAGCGAAGATTTAAAAAAAATTATCATTAACCCTTTCGCGCCGACTGTCACAAATATGTGCCAGCATAAAACCGTATCAACCAGGATGAAAAGATAAAACTGGTAATCAGAGTAATTCTTTAGCAGTTTATTTGTGGACGGAGTTACAATTGTTTGATTTATTTAAGTCACCATAACTTTGTTCAAAATAAAACTATTTAGTCATACTTTGAATTGACATAGATTATATATATGATTAAACTAACAATAATAAACATTTAAGTTGCCGTTTTTTATTTAATTACATCCTAAACCTGATTTTGTACGAATGCTTTTCTGAATCACTCACCCCCAAGGGGTTAAATTACTTTTTATGAGTTGATATATATATATATATATATATATATATATAGAAAGAAATATACTGCCGTAATACCACCGTTCAATTTGTGTTCATAATCCTTCTGAAAGACAACTAAGAATAAAAAAAAAATGAAAAATGGAATTTTTTTTACTTTTAGAATAATGAAAAATAATTTTAATTAATCTAAAAATATTTGGATTTTACCCATGATTTGGGTTGTAAAANTATATATATATATATACATAAAAGTTAAAAAGTTAAAAGAATATAACAACTGCGAAGCTAGTCGTAGATATTAACTGTAAAAGTAAGTAAAAGTAACTGTTTAAGAATTGTAAAGGCCAAGTTTAGAGCTTTTAAAAAAGATTAGGAAGGAAAACAAATGTAAAGTCAGTGAAAGTTATTAACTGCAAAAATAGCTGGTAATAAATTATAAAACAATCCTGACAAGTAATAGCATGTTTATAAATAAAGGTAAAAATAGCTGTTAAAAATGTAAAAACCGTTTTTAGAATTTTTAAAATAAAGACGAAGTAGGAAAATAAATGCAAAATTAGTAGAAGATATTTACTGTAAAAATAACTATTAATACGTAAATTTACAGTCCTGGAAATAACTGGGATAATTAACAATAACGCGATGATTCTCTATGTTAATGAATGCCTGAAAAAATAACTATTAATATTTTTTTCACGATTCGTAAAATCTGTTTTTACGATTCTTAAAAAACCTAAGAAGAAAATCAAATGCAAAAACAGTTGGAGACATTCACAGAAAAAAAATAACTGTTAATTAAATATGATGATTAAAATTTTTGTCAGTATATTTTAACATTACATTGCTAAATTGTATACTTATTATGCAAAAAATACATCTACATCAAATCAAATAATCTTATTAACAAAATGGAAAGAAATATGAGTGATAAAAATATTTCTATTTAAAATATTGGAGTTTCATTAAATAATAAAGACATAAATGAAAAAAGAACTAAAAAGCTGACAGATACAAACGAAATAATTTCCTTTTTATTCAATCTTTTCCAGAACTAAAAATGCCAAGAATTTGCTTAATTTTTAAAAATTAATTAGATATTACAAAAAGAGTGATGTAAAAAATGTCTTCACATAATAATTAATAGCTAGTTGCGTTTTAAGATTTATTCACGATTCATTATCTATGAAATATTACGTCGTAAAATTATCATAAACCCACAGCAGCACATAAAGAATTTAAACGATGCAACGATTCTTTCAGATTCTGGAAACGTTGTTAAGTTTCAACCATTACGTTTCACAACATGGAAGAAAATGTTTCTGGTAAAAGAAGTGATGTCTAGCTTAGTTTATGGTTGATTAACGGTTGTAAAAGTTACACTTCATCTCATACAATTTTTAAAATTATGTGCGTAAAAATGTATTTTTATCAGCGATTTAAAAGAAATGATGTAAAATGCTTGTTTCTGTTAGAAAAATGTAATTGCCTTTCAGAAGATAAAATGTGCTAAGATAACTGTTGCTTTTTAGAAAAATCGTTAGACGAATAAACAGAATTTCATGGTTATTCTTTACATAAAATTATTTCTAACTACATTTTAATTCATACGAAAATTTTCAATAAACTTTATAATGTTTTTAGTTTAATTTTTAAATTCTAGAAAGTTGTCTTTTGGTAAAAAATATGAAGTTCTGTAAAGATATATAAAATGAGTAAAAAAAATGCGAATTTCGTTGCAAGAATAAACAGAGTTTCATATAGTGTTTATTTACGTAAAATTATTCCTGCCGGCCGGGGGCAGAGTGGTTAGCGTGCCTGACTGCGAAGTCAATGGCTGCGGGTTCAAATCCCGTTCAGGACATGAATGTTTTTCTCTGTGTCAGCCGCTGTTGCGTATGCTGTATGAATATGGCCCACCCTATAAATGGGCATCTATGGCAGTGTGGCGTGGGTAATGTTGCTCGCCGCCGTGACTTTGGTCATGAGGTGCCGACGAGGCAATGCAAAATGAGCAACAATGCCAGCATCTTTGTGCTAAGAACGTTAAGTTCAGTGCCTGTCGCTAAAAAACAAAATAAAGTAATTTCTAACTGCGCTTAAATTGATACGGAGTTTTTCAGTAAACTTTATAGAGTTTTTAGTTTGATTATTAAATTCTAGAAAGTTTTCTGTTGGTTAAAAATATGAAGTTCTAGAAAGATACGTAAAATACGAAAAAAATATGAAGAAAAAAATACGATAAGAGAAAATACAGGAATTTATATAAGAATAATGGTGTTTCCTTGCATAAAATTATTGCTAACAACGTTTAAATTGACACAAAGTTTTTCAGCAAATTTTATAAAGATTCTACCTTAATTTCAAAATTCTAAAAGGGTTT